GGGAGAGAGGGGGAGAGAGAGAGAGAGAGAGAGAGAGAGAGAGAGAGAGAGAGAGAGATCTGTTACCTCCCATACATGCCCTGACCAGGGATCGAACCTGCAACCTAGCTATGTGTGCTGACCAGGAATTGAACCCCTGACCTTCTGGTGTACAGGACCATACTCCAACCAATTGAGACACACCAGCCAGGGCCAATGTGACATTTTAACTCAATTTTTATGAATAAATCATGGTGGCCAAAATAATACAAATAGCAAAAACATCTTTTTTAAATGGCATATATAAGCAACATTATACATGAATATAGTATAAACCAGTGGTCACCAACTGGTGGTCCATGAGGTCCGAAAGGCTGGCGACCGCTGGTATAAACTATGTATACTGGGCATACCAATTGGCTTGGAGAGCTGATGATTCCTCAGTAAATGAACGGAAACCAGAGAAGTGACCAAGGCTCAAATAAATATTCACTTAAAGCTTTAGCTTTAGGATCATTTAAAATTATTACCTCTAGTACAAGCTTAATTTCACCCACTAACTTACCCTTTGGGGTCCAAAAGATCTCGAACTTTCTCATTATAAATTTCCATATAGGATACTTCCACTTTAAAGGTCTGTGACTCATTTTGCTCCAGAGAGATCCTTTTAAATAAAGCACAGCAGAGCCTTGGGATGAGGCCCAGCTGCTCAGCATTGCCCATCATAGAGAAGGATTTTCCTGAGCCTGGAGAAGAGCAAGCAGAAAGAAAGGAGCATAAACAAGGAAGCAAAATGTAATGATTCCACCACATAAGTCTTCTACATATATCATCCAAGGTCACAGTGGAAGAGGCAAACTTGGCCCCCAGGGCCAACCCTCAAACAATACGGTTACTATTCTTTCTTAAAAAAAAAGTTCTTTATTGTTGAAAGTATTACAGATGCCCCCTTTCCCCTTCCCCCATTGACCTCCTCCACCCTGCACCCCAGACCAAGGCTACTCTTCTTTCTATTACACTCATGGCTTCTAGTTTCACTCTCATTGTGAGATCCAGAGGGCACCTCATCTACAGGTGGAAAACACAAATATAACCATTGTAAGCAGCAAATATAGTATCAAGTAACATTAACAGTATTTATCCAAAACTATTTTGTTTGTGAAAGTGCTTTGATATATATTCTCTTATCTGAGTCTCCTAGTTGTCCTGCAATGTGACCAGAGGCAGTATTGTTATGATTGATGGATTTATTCTAACTTTATAGTTGAAATCATGGTGGCTCAGAGAATTAATGGCTGAGACACTAGTATGTTTTTGTTTTACTTGTTTCAACCAACTGTGCCACGAGCCTAGGTGTAGTAATCCACCATCATTCTGTATCCCAGTGACAGTCCTCTGTATAGGATGATGCCAAGAGTTTTTAAAAATAGTTTTTACTATAAGATTTGTACTGAGAAAATGGTAATTATTTTTCTAGTTCAAATACAAGTTAAAGCTATAATTTAGGAAAATTACATTTAATAGTTTGAAACCAGGTTTGCTCATTAACACTAAAATTACTCAATTACCAAAACTGTTGAGTCATCAAAAAGAGGGTTCCTTTTGATCACCTAATTCCTAATTCAGTTAAACCACAAAGGCAGAAGCATTTTTTCTGTTGCTTCCCAAAGTGTTTTCTACTTCTATGTTTTAAGAAATGCACATGTAATATCATTGACTGTAAATAAAAGCAAGGACTTACCTGTCTGTCCATATGCAAAAATACAAGCGTTATACCCCTGAAAGGCTTTTTCAAGAATTCCTTCCCCAAGGCACTTGAAAACCACCTCTTGACCTACAAAAGAAAAAAAAAAAAGATGTTTCTTGACATATTTGTATTAATAACTGAGTCTCAGTTAACAGCATTCTCTAACTTCAAAAAGATGTTAAAAGTGAATTACTGTGTGCCTACCATGTGTAGGACCAAGTTACTAGCTTAATGCATGCAATTTTATTTATTCTTCTTAACTATAGCTCAGTACCTGGATCGATTTATGATTCTACCTACTGCTTCCTTCTAAGGCAGTGGTTCTCAACCTTGGCTGCACATTAGAATCACCTGGGAATCTTTTTAAAATCCTGATTTCTAGGCCTCATCCTCCGGAAATTCTATTTCTTTGTTACTATTGTTGTGGCCTCACCCCATAACAAAGAAAGAATTTCTGGAGGATGAGGCCCAGAAATCAGGATTTTAAAAAGATTCCCAGGTGATTCTAATGTGCAGCCAAGGTTGAGAACCACTGTAATCTAAGGCATTTCTCTTCAAGGCATTAAAGTTTCCTTCCCATTGTTAGTAGGCCATATGGAAGCATCATTTAAATTTGGTTTCATTTCTTCTCATGAGTTAGCATTAAAATGTCATGAAACATGAATTCTCTTATTTCCTCATCTGGATTCTGAGCTGGATTCTCATGATGCAGAACCATGCCATACACGTTTCGGTATATGCGTGTACCTCTGCACGTAGCATGGGGATAAGTACCTGCCACGTGCTTCGAAGCCGTTTATTGCTGGTGGAGGTGATGAGTTGAGCACAGACACCTCTCACCTGTGTTCTCATGGGGGGTTCAGGGACAAGCTCTCTTTGGTGAGCCCGTCTATAGCTTACTGCAGCTCTTGGGGGAGTTGTCATTTAATATACTAGTAAATATTACGATAGCATCCGTAGCAGACAGCTGAAAAGTCTGAAAATCTTTTTAAACGCTTAAGGTTTCTTTTACTACTCTTTGAAATTGGTGACATTCATTCCACCATGAGTAAGAGAATGAAAATGGTGTTCTCCTTCTGCCATGCTCTTACAGTCCTCAGAACATCCACTATTACAGCCTTTGCAGAAACTACTGGTTTAAGTACCACTTGCCTCCAATGGCATGATACCCCCTGACTGTGTCAGAGACTATAATCTGTTTATCTTTGTAATCCTGGTGCCTAGTACAAAATTTTAAATTAATATTTATTGAAAAAATGAGCCCATTTAACCTTTTTATCCTACATGACAATTTCTTTTACATTTGGAAATAATGCAACATAATAAAAGCTTTTGGGCCCTAGCCAGTTTGGCTCAGAGGATAGAGCTTTGGACTGCAGACCGAAGGGTCCTGGGTTCAATTCCAGTTAAGGGCACATACCTTGGTTGCAGGCTCCTCCCTGGCCAGGCCCTGGTCAGGGCACATGCGGGAGGCAACCAATCAATGTCTCTCTCACATCGATGTTTCTCTCTGTCTTTCCCTCTCTCTTCCACTATCCCTAAAAATCAATGGAAAAATATTCTCAGATGAGGATTAACAAAACAAAAAATAAATAAATAAAAGCTTTTGGGTATATGTTCTTCTTTTATGCAAAGTTGGATCTAATTTTAGCAGTCTTTTGTTATACTATGACATATCTTGGTTGCAGAATCGAACTCTTAAAAATGTGTAAATGTGAAACAAAATATAATATTTTCAACCCTTAGACTGACAAGAACTAAAATGTTGACAACATGAACTATAGCTGGATTGAGGAAATAGGTATTTTCACAAGCTGTTGTAAGAATAAACAAATGCAGCCATTGTGAAGGAAAACCTAACAGCACCTATAAAAGGAAATCTTCCCTCATTGTCTGACCCACTGTGAGGCATCTAGCCTAGAGACACAAGGGACTCTTGTAAAGGATGCTCATAGCAGCATTATTTATTCTACTATAAGTTGGAATCAAGTTAAATGCCCATTTGTAAGGGAGTGGATAAAGTGACTATTTTATATGATGTAATACTACAAGTCATGTAAAAACAAACAGATAAACCTAAGAATTTGTGTATAAACAATGCTAGAATTCAAAAACATTGTTGAATAAAAGAAGTCATGTTAAGACTATAGTACATCTACACTAATAAAAGACAAAGATGCTAACTGACCATACCTTCGCTAAGCCCACCAGCCAATAAGAGGAGTATGCAAATTAACCCAACAAAAATGGCCGGTAAATTTGCATACTGCAGGTGGGGCAGGCAGTGCCAGACATCACCCACAGGATCTGGGCTGCAGATCGGGACCAGGGAGGCAGGGTGGGCAGCGCCAGATGCCACCCGGGGAGGCGGAGCCAGCCCGGCGATCGCACAGGACTGGGGGTCCCCTGCCCAGGCCTAACGCCCCGGTCAGAGGCCTTAGTCCTGGGCAGGGGCTGAGCTGGGGATCGGTGTGAACTACAGAGGAAACACCTTTTCTGACAGCTCATTGGCTAAGCTCCCTGTATGCCACTGGTAATATTCTTAGTAACTTG